TTTATGCTTTTTATGTAGAGATGATGTTTGGAAGTAGCAGGGCCGATTATTTTTAGCTATTTATGATTTGGTCGATAGTACAGATAGTACTAGCGCTCGAGTCAACCCATCCAGGTTTGGTTTTTCAAAGAGGAAAGATCATGTTGTTGTCGTTTTAACGTTAGCACGAGCCTTTAACTTGCGCCGATGAAATGCCGACGAAAGCGGGTTTAAAGCGATCAAAGAAGGACTAAATTCCTTCCAGCTACTAGAAAATATAGCAGGAAGCGGGGGCAGAGAAGTCAGAGAAAGCGTTTCGTCGTGAGGAGAAGATCTGGAAAAGGTACTTCGTCGTGGATTACTGAATTGGGGGAATTAAAATGAGGGATTCATTCGAGAAGCGATATCGTATGATTCCGTGACGGTAGCAGATGCCCATGACCGTCAAGTCAGAAACTCGGGCATTCACGTCGTTGTTGATTATGTAAACTTAAATGATTTTTATTAAGGGTCGCTGACTGGATTTAGCCCGAACGGTGATGCTCTTCAGCCCTTTTCAATTTTCTAAACATCGGCCGAAACTTGGTAAGTCTATTTTAGGTTCCTTTCGATCACCTTCAAATGGCTACCTATTATCATTTTAGCGCAAAAACGTTTTAAGGTCGACACTGATCAATCGATCATTTCATAAATTCTCAATAACTGCTAATGATGTGAAAGTGTAATGTTCATGGAGAATGTTGATGGAGATCGCTATTTCTTAAGCCTGGTCGCAAACAGTTCAATTCAGTCAGAGTTCAGTTTTTAAGTGTGGATCGTAGTGGATATTTTCAATTTTATCGAATCCCTTTAAAGAAAAGAGGAAAATTTATTTTGCCAAAGCCAGGGGCTATCAACTGTCGGTAAAAGTGAGTAAAATTTCATAAACCAAAAATTGATTTACAGATTACAGCTTTATTTAATTTTGCACTAATTAGATCCGTGAAGATGATAGTGCATGTCCCGCATTAAGTAAAACAGTTTGGCCTTCCTGATTCAACAGAGCAGCTTAGCCTTTTTAGGCGGTGGCTCTGTGAGAATTTCATTCTCCGGGTGTTTCAGAAAGAACTAAAAACGCGCTTTCAGATATTGTTTGAATCTCCGTCTAGCATTAAGTAAAACGGTTTGGCCTTCCTGATTCAACAGAGCAGCTTAGCCTTGTTAGGCTGTGGCTCTGTGAGAATTTTATTCTCCGGGTGTCTCAGAGGGAACTAAAAACTCGCTTTTAGATATTATTTGAATCTCTGTCCAGCATTTAAGAAAAAACGTTTGGCCTTCCTGATGCAACAGAGCAGCTTAGCTTTTTTAGGCTGTGGCTCTGTGAGAATTTTATTCTCCGGGTGTCTCAGAGGGAACTAAAAACGCGCTTTTCAGATATTTTTTGAATCCCCGTCTAGCATTAAGTAAAACAGTTTGGCCTTCCTGATTCAACAGAGCAGCTTAGCCTTTTTAGGCTGTGGCTCTGTGAGAATTTTATTCTCCGGGTGTCTCAGAGGGAACTAAAAACGCGCTTTTCAGATATTTTTTGAATCCCCGTCTAGCATTAAGTAAAACAGTTTGGCCTTCCTGATTCAACAGAGCAGCTTAGCCTTGTTAGGCTGTGGCTCTGTGAGAATTTTATTCTCCGGGTGTCTCAGAGGGAACCGAAAACTCGCTTTTAGATATTGTTTGAATCTCTGTCCAGCATTAAGAAAAAAAGTTTGGCCTTCCTGATGCAACAGAGCAGCTTAGCCTTTTTAGGCTGTGGCTCTGTGAGAATTTTATTCTCCGGGTGTCTCAGAGGGAACTAAAAACGCGCTTTTCAGATATTTTTTGAATCCCCGTCTACAATTAAATAAAACAGTTTGGCCTTCCTGATTCAACAGAGCAGCTTAGCCTTTTTAGGCTGTGGCTCTGTGAGAATTTTATTCTCCAGGTTTCTCAGAGGGAACTAAAAACGCGCTTTTCAGATATTTTTTGAATCCCCGTCTAGCATTAAGTAAAACAGTTTGGCCTTCCTGATTCAACAGAGCAGCTGAGCCTTTTGAATTTATTCCTTGAGTGTCTCAGAGGGAACTAACAACGCGCTTTTAGATGTTGTTTTAATCTCTGTCCAGCATTAAGAAAAAAAGTTTGGCCTTCCTGATTCAACAGAGCAGCTTAGCCTGTTTAGGCTGTGGCCCTGTGAGAATTTTATTCGCCAGGTATCTCAGAGGGAAGCATTATTTTTTAGACATTATTTAAATATTGCAAAAGTAATGTTTTGCTTACGTTTGTATTTAACCCCATCCAGATCCAGTGAGGCCTTTAAAACAGCGCGTCAATTTTAAAAGTTTTTTCATAAGGCAGTTTCTGTTTAGCGCTTAGTGTTAGTTCTGGCCTTGAATGAAGATTCCATTAAAAAGCCTTGCGTTCAGACATAAAATTAGGGAGATCTTGTAAGCATGAATTGAAATATATGAAATGCGGATGAAGGTATGAAAGTGAAAATGATCATCGCATTAAATTCGCAACCTATTCGGTTGAAAAATAACCTAAAAAATTTTGCAGCGTTATCGCAGAAAGTTAGAGGTAATATTACATTGTTGGGGAAAATACTCCGCGGCTTTAAATTAATAATTTCCACGATGTTTTAATTCCGGTAGTGTAGTAACCTTTTCGTTAAGGCAGCTTCTAAAACGCACTCGAGAAAACCGCACAGTCTCTGTGAACTCTCACTTGAACTTGCGAGAGAGGCAAAACGGAAAATAGAGTGACATTACTTTCAAACCATTACGGGTTACCTTAGGCCGAGGTTTCAGAAATCATTGGACCTCCAGCCCTCTTTCTTGGTGGGTTAGTTTAAGAAAATAAGTGCTTTAGTTTTCCAGTCTGCCTTATTTGCTTTATTGACATTATTCACGATAAATGGGGTTTGATAAAAGCGTTGGTTAAACTGAAAATGGCTTAATTATAACGCGATTTTGTAATATACCGGCTAAATAACTGGCCCTCAGTGTTTAATAAATACAAGTAAACAAAATATACAATAGAAAATTCCCCAGCAAAGAATTGCGTAAAATCACTTTTCTCGAAGTACAATAAATTTTAAGAGAAGCCACCACAGAGGCAAATGCATTCCGGTTCGGCAGAAAGACTTCCAATGCGGCTAATTTGTAATTGAGTTCTTTGTTGAACCGAAATCTTGTATGAGAATTTGTCACCTCCAAGCAAATGAGCCGTAAAAAGTTGATTACTTCTACAGAGCTCCCCTGCTGATGTTAGCCTATTGAATAGGCGAACATCAGCAGGGGTCTACGATTTCAAACCTCTATGAATCTCGTCATGCTGTTTTCCGAAAACCAACCTAAATATATAGAGGTTTCGAACTTTTCTGCCTTGGCATCGACTAGGATAAATTTATCATGAATGCTTTCGATTCTAGGTCGACAAGTATCGGCCAACTGCAAAAGTATGCAGCACGTGCAAAGATTTTTTGTTTTCTAATTAGACCTGTTGTTTCTTTACTTTAACGAGATTGCAAATTATTCAAATTGCAGTTGAAAATCAGTGCAAGAAGAAAGCACGTGGTAATCCACTGCGCATTCTAAATCTCCCATTCGAGCATAGCGACAATTCCTTGCGAGTCTACTGCGCATCCCAAATCTTCCATTTGCACTTAACCAAAATTCCTTGCGAGTCTATTGCACATCCTAAATGTTTCATTCGCGCATAACCAAAATTCCTTGCGAGTCCATTGCGCATCCTAAATGTTTCATTCGCACATAACCACAATTCCTTGCGTTTGGCAAGAAAACGTGATTCAATGCCCCTATAATGTGATTTTTTGCCGATTAGAGAGCTGCCTCGTTCGCTCTCTTCAGGCTCGCTCACTGCGGCAGCAATAACATCATTCGCTCCAGAATTATTCCTTTTTTAGAAGGTTTGGTGCCTTCGATAAATAATTGACATTAAAATGTTCCATTTTTATCAAGATAGCAATACAGTAAAAACCCGCGAGTAAAAACCTGCATTTTCCCGAGTTGGCCTAAAAAGATTTTACAGAAATGGATATTAACACAAGGAATTAAGGCTACTTAGGTTCTTAAATAGGTTCTCATTTTCTAGGGAAAAAATTTATCGTAGCGAAGAGTATTTAGTGGTATTCAGCTTATTCTTTTTACAAAATCTACATACCATTACATTGTAGTTGGAGTGATGAGGCACCTACGTCTCCAAAGAGGTTTCTGAAGGTAGGCTTATCTTATTTGCCCATGTGAATAGTTTTTTAAAATAGATTTTAGAAAATAAGAATCCGTTTCAAACTCTGGGCTAAACAGGTTCTCGTATAGGGGAGGCCTAACTTGCAAATTTTAGCCTAACAGATTCTTACAAACCAGGGTCTTACCCGCACGTTTTTACAGTAGATAAAATGAATTCATTAAAGCTAAAATTAAAAACTTCTTGCGTATATAAGCAATATTTTGCCCCTTACAGCAGCCGTAAAAGCTACTTAAAAAGATCAGATTTTAAGACAAAATACACAAGCTTCGACTGAAAATTAGTACACTCAGGTTTAGTTTAACTTAGTGAACGTGTCACGAGTTAAAAACGAAACAACCAAAATAAAATACAGCGAGACAGGGATTGTTTCAAGGGCTTATAAAAATTATATTCGCGGAAACGTCCAGCAAAAAAAGATATATATCAAAAAGCTCCAGTAATATCTAGCTAAGCCTCGTTTTAATTCTCAGCAAGACTTTTCAATTAAGGTTTGCAGAACAACAGCAAGATTAGTATAAAGACAAAATAAATATTTTTTTCTAAATCAAACGACTCAACAACTTCTCATATAACAAAAATTGATTACTCCTCACCTAATATATATCTTTCATAGAAAAGTGTGGAATTTTTTTAAAAAATGACCTTTTATGTTGCTCTAAGAATGTTAGCAGTTTTCAATTTTACGTCCAGGCTACAGATGGAAAGTACAAATAAAGTAAAAAATTACATATTTCTAACACTCAGATTGCCATGAACAGCTTAACATTTTTCTTTTCCAGCTGAGAGGCAAGATTTTTTAGGCGACGGATTCGCAGGCATCCTCGTTTTCCAGCGTTAAAAACGCGATACAAATGAAGCGCTTCTTTTTTCTCCAACGCAAATAGCAACTCTGGAACAGAAATTTCAAAAACTTCCTTCTGATCAGAGGACGTCGTCTTGACCTCGATATAGGTGATAACGGTCTTGGATTGGGCCTCTTGGTTTACTCCAGTATTAGGTCGTCTAATCTCAAAATCGTACGGCGCAGTAGTGTTAGCTTCCTCGTTCAACCAAATAATATCCACATTTTCACCTGTAGGATGGACTTTGACTTGGTTGATAAGAAACTCATAGACACATCGTTCTCCCCATCGACCGACTTCTTCGCTGTTTGGGTTCTCACCAAGCTGTATACCATTCAAGATTTTAAGGTCACCATCATTAAAGGAGAGATCATCGTAGTCTATTTCTGATGCCTCTTCGTTAAAACTGAGATAAGCGCGAGGGGGTGATGTTCGCCTTACATCACATGTGGGGACTGGCAGGGTACAGATCCGTTCAGGCTTTGGTGGAGATTGTGCTCCCAAAGGTTGTAACACATCCTGCACACTTTCCGTTTCTTCATCACAAAGCGAATCGTCTGCAACTCTTTCCAAAGTAACATCATCAACTTTCACAGGATTTGGATCATTCGGTGAGGAAGTTTGATACTTCTCTTCCCTGTTTGCTGTTTCCACGATTAGAGTCTTACTGTTTCGCCGAGGCATGACCTCCGTCCTGTCATCTGGTTCTTTCGTATCTTTTGGATCGTTTGGCCCTTCCGTCTCAACTAAACGCTGAGTTGGTCGTCCTTGGATTTGGACTTTCTCCTCCAAAGATTTCTTCACAGAATCAGGAGGCGCTGGGGGTGGCCACATCTTAAGAGTATTGTCGCTACTCAATTTTGCTTCACGCTTTAAGGTCTTGTCAAATTGTGCGGAGGACTTTGGAGGCCAGGAATGAAGACCATCATCACCAACTCGGTTTGGCAATGAAATATTGGCTTTAGGACTCGGAACCACGTCTTTTGACGCTTCATGAACGACTTCTTCCGGTACTTCAGGAGGGGGTACACACCAAGGTTCTTCTTCATCAGGTAAAGGTTCTAAGCCTTGGACTTCTTCTAAAAAGAACTGAAAGTCGCCACCACTGTAATTCTTCACAGCGACCAGGAAGTTGCTAAGGTCCGAGGAGTCCTGCCTCTTCACTCGTAGCAGTTTCACCATTTCACCATTCAAGACATCATAATTTTCCTGGTGCTCTTCTGCTACATAAAAACAGAAGCTGGAACCCACAGGTTCGACGCCAGACTTCTCTTCAATTACAATATGAATATCGGGGTGCGTACTAAGTGAATAAACTGTTTCCAATTTTTTCACCGAAGCAAACTGCATTTGTTGCAGTTTTTCTGCAAATTTCTCATTTTTCAGTTCTTCATACACTGGTCGTTTTTTGAAATACAGAAACCGTTGCACCGCTGGTATCATCTGATGAAAGTACTTCTGTAGTGGCACACATTGGAACTTTACTAATGTGGGGGTAAAATCTCTTTTTACGCATTCACTTAACCGTTGTATGTCACAAGCTTTCAAAAACAGCGAAACATTGTGCTTCATTTCCTCTTTTTCGTTTACAAACTTACGATTTTCGCTGGTTGAACGATTCTTTAGATCTTGAAATAAATCGTCGAGGTCGATGAAGTGAACGCCTTTTTCCTTCTGAAAAATTTTGAACAGAGACTTATTGTCCCGTAGAAGAGGCTTATCGGAAAGTGAAACCCATTTCCCAGAAGAAGGAAAAATGCACTTAAAACTAGCATCCAAGGACTGTCTGATAAACGACGCCATATTTACGTCGACTGTGTTTTCTATACGTATGCTATCTTTGTGGTCGCGTGCAATACATTTCCTACCTAAAATGGCAAATACTTTCAACATGTCATTCACTGACGACGGAGTAGGAAAACCAGCAAGTTCAGCAACAGCTGATGCCATCTCAAGGTACTCATCCACATTGGGTGTTTCGTCCACCTTGAGTTGATCGACGAAGAAAGTTGCAAGACTTTGCTGCGAAGAAGCCTTCGACAAACTGTGGTAAACTCCCTCCAGTACATGCCTTGTTGTTACTTTGCCGTGGTCCCTGAGTAGCTTTAAAGCTACCTCAGTCGGGTCTCGCCAGTACACATCTTTCAGTACGTGAAACAAGCCAGATAACTGATGCTTTGGTTGGGGTTTAATGCATGAAGTTAAAGCCGACCGAAACGGGACAAACACCAATGCATTTTTAAGAAATGCATCGCACACTTTCTTTCTTTGTTCCTCGTTTTGCACCATTTTGTCGTACAAGAAAGAGTAGACTTCTCTCATGTGTGCCAGTGATGTAGTAAACTCTTTTGTTGGGGCTTCTTTGTTAGTTCCGCTTGAAGCAGTAGACCACTTCTTCATCTCGCTTATCATACCATCCAGGGTAATTGATTCATGAATTTGCAAGGTCTTAACAAATCTACTGTTTTTTAAATGAGCCGCTGTATACTTCACGTGATCCTCTAGTAGCCTGCCAACCGCTTCATTCCAGATGAAAAGGTCTCTCGGTATGTGAATTGTTTGCCCATCGCTGGCTGACATCCATTGCTTCAAAACAAGATTTAAATAGAAGGATGAACGAGTTTCTCCAAGAACATGATCATTGCTATCTTTGACGCGCACCAAGGCATCTGCGTACTGTGAATACTCGCTATCCCAGCGTTCGTCGATCCACTGCGCCAGAATATTGGATTGACAACAGATGCTTTGACGGTCAGCAGTCGGCTCAGCAATCTTGCTCAGAAATTCTTCAAATTCTTCGCACGCGCAGTCCTCAACGACGTAACAACCGTCTGGAGTTGTTTGCCAAACTGCTTCGTAGGACGCCCAGGGAGTCTGCGCCTAAAAGGTGGAAAAGGGTGAGAATAATCTCCTACCAAAAATTGTGAAGTGATATTTGATTTCCTTGACTCCCACTCTATAATAAAAACCGTAGTCAAGCGTTTGCAAAATTACTGACTAATTATCACTGAAGTGAGTCGATTCTAGATAGCCCTGAAAGTGGTTTCCAAAAACACATTTTTTATAAGAAATCAAGTAAATATATCTCGTTCGACGGTTTAGTGTGTAGTATCGTTGTATCGTCGTGCTGTATTTTGGCGAGCCCGTAGGGCGAGTCAAAATACAAGAGACGAGTAAAAATATTCCACGATACTACACACTAAACAGTCTAATAAGGGATTTATTATTCAACCCGAGGAGTATAAAATAGATCTCAGAACTCTACTCATGACGAGAATGGTGACAGACTAACGTGAGTCGAGTTTTCGCACGCTTTCATCAACGCTGTTGTCGATTGGTCAGAAATGAAAACTTGTCTTTTTCAAGTTTTCGACGGCGCTTCGAGGTTTTATCTTTCAAAGATTTGCTACAAAAACAGAGATGGGATGACAAATAATCCTGATGCTTATGATGATGATCGGTTTTGTAAAACGGACTGCAAGTAGGAAAACTGAGCAGAGCACATTGTGATGGAAAGACAAAAACTCTCCTACATATTCAAGGGGTTTCAAAGAACTACTAGTAACCAAAATACTTGAAACCTCATCCTCGCCGGGTTATACTAACAAAAAGAGAACGTCTTAAGTCTACCATATCGAGTTTCCTCACATTTTAAAAGAACTAGAAGTAAAGACTGTTCAGTTCCTTGGCGGGATTGTATTTAATGGCCGTTGTTTATTTCACGGATTTTCGCCTTCATCATCTCTATCACACAACTTCAGGTCTGTTCTCATCTTCTCTGTTGTATCTTTCGCATTAAGTTTGTATGTTCTATCTATTTTTAATGATTGTCGACATTTTCATTGCTGCTCAGGCGACTTTACTCTAGAAACTCGGTTTATTTAACCTTACAATTTGGCCCCTATTCCGTTATTTTCTTCGGAAAACGATGCATTTTCTGCCATTTGCGACGTTTGTAGATTAAAACCGGTCAAACCGGTCTTCTGGAGTACAAATACCGTGAGATATTTGTACTCCTTTTAGCGTTATTTGTACTGTACTGAGTGAAGTTAAATGATAATAATCCTTAGTCTCTATGTTTCAAAGATATTAAAGTGTTCCACGATTAAATTAACCCAATCCATACTAGTCATGCAATGCTTTCGGGTGGCGTACCTCGAAATATTCCTTGAGTGACTTGACTTTTTAAAGTATTAAGGTGCTTCGATACAGTTTTTCGGGGATCATACCGATCTTTTTAAATTGCCTTAAAAGTGATTTTATCCTTGTCCGATAGCTATGAAATTTTCACCACTGACTGACATTGGATTGAGGTTTGTCAAAACGCAGTTTTAAGTATAATTACGTTTTATTTGAATTCAAACATACTTCTAACGGAGGTTATTTGCTAAACACCACACTTTAAGTTCCTGGTGTCCGATTTTCAGTTGCAGTCGCGCAAAATTCGGCTGTTGTCGATTTCAATTTTTTTTGTTTATTGTTGCCATAGTGATATCGATTTTACTTAAAACTACATTTGGACAAACTTCAATCCAAAGTCAGCCAGTGGTGAAAATTTCATAGCGATCGGACAAGGATAAAATCATTTTTAAGGTGACTCGACCCAGTTATTTCGTGAGGGTACCATCCTACTTTGAAGTTCTCTTGTATCCCCACCTTTACTTTGATCGTGAGTCTCACATAAAGCATGGATAACATATAGATCAACCTACAATATAGCATAAAATTTTTGGCGATCGGAGTAAATGTTGCGTGGTTGTTGTGTCACGCCTCTTTGGGGTCTGAGTCGAAATTCTGCTGTTGCCGGCATTTTTTCGTGAAAATCTTCCGGCTACATATAGTCCGCATTAGTGCCTTGTGCTGAACAGAGTTTCACCAAAATCGCAAAGACCCAATGCGGGAAATTCAGCCGTTTCCAAAGTTAGGTCCTAATTTATGTGAAAATGATAAGCAAACTTTAAACGATTATATCTCATAAACTATGAGATTTATCCCTTTATTTTTGGAATCTTTATTAACAGATGGGTCCTTGCAAGTCAGCAAGAAGCTTAAGGGTTTTGTAAATGCGCGCGATTTCGAGCAATGCAAACATATAGAAATTATAGTCTTAGCAATTTGTTGACGTTTGTCAGCGTTTAAGAAGTCTTCTCACGAGAAAAGCATTTTGTTAAAAATTCGTGGTTTTGTTTCCTTCAAATTTTTTCAGGGGTACAATTGATTAACTAATGCTGAATGCTGGATGCTGAATTTCATGGTCATTGAAAAACTGTGACATTATCTTTTATAAGCCCAAACTTGAGTAAACATTGAAGATTTTCAGCGTTTTGGCTCAGCTTGTGCTTTGCGAGTTTTCTCTTGTTTCTAGTCTGTCATGATACTGCATTCTCGTTCAGCACACGTGCAATGACCGCGCTTGGCTGACTTCCGATAATTTTGATACGGTGGGATAGGCGATCGCGTGATACATAGAGGTTTAACTCACGATTTTTAATCAATTCTCGTGCTTCTTGTGCCTTTGCAAAATAATCAAGAAATGCTACACAATCTCTTCTCCGTGAACGTCCTCTCTCGCCCGAATAGCATTCAACACCCCGGCCATTTTCTTTTTAGAGTTTTCAATTCTCGGCATGATGTACACTCAGCTGGCTAGAGACGTTACGTGATGGGAATCCCTTCTATTTTCTCTTACTAAGTTATGTTGTAGATTGATCTATATGTTATTCATGCTATATGTTAGACTTACGATCAAAGTAAAGGTGGGGATACCAGAGAGCTTCAAAGTAGGATGGTACCCTGACAAAATAACTGGGTCGAGTCACCTTTCAAGGCGATTGAAAAATATCGCTATGATCCCGAAAGTGGCTTAAGGGAGGGGTAGATGGGCAGTTTCCCAGAAACGTATAATGATCCCGAAAAACTGTATCGAAACACCTTAATAGACACGAGCTTTTAGGTGTATTTTTGTGGCTGTATCCTCTATGGTATGGGAAAATAATATTTAGTATATACACACTCACTTGGTGATTTAAGCAATCTGATTGGTTCGCTATCTCGGACTATTCAACAATATTCACCTCCTAGCGAGTAGATAATGTGTGAGCTCGTTGTTTTTCCCATTTTTTTAGAGAACGATCTTTTAAAAGTCGACAGAATCCTAGGGCTGACTTTTTTTTAAGGCAAGAAAAGACTTGGAAGGATTCAATACGGCGTTTTTCAATTTACTGTACCTGACGTTTGTGCTCAATCGATTGTTTGCAACTCCCGTGTATTCGCGTAGAAGAAGCAGTTCCGTGAACTCAGCGTTTTCTAACAACAAAATTTTGGCTCAAAAATCGAAGTTTATTTATGACAAGCAAATTTAAAAGGAACTGTTTGCAGAAATTCTACATTTCAAGTAAACAGGAAAAAGAATGATACAGGAAGACGACGTCTTACCTCGAGCAACCGAGCCGCCATTTTTGTCAGCACTTCATGCGAAGAACGACACAACAAACCCTTTTGGTTATAAACTTGGCGAGTCAACAGAAAACAACAAAGCTCTACTTTTCTTCTCAGGTAAGGAAACAGTTCAAACTTTTACGCTGTTGTTTGCGAAATGATAAACTTGTGAATTGCCATGTTTGAAAATTCTGCAAAGGTCTATTCTTAAACTTACGCGTGATTTGATCTGTCAATCAAATCGTACTTTTTAATGGTTTCCTCTCTGATTTTGTTGAGATCACTTCGTGAGTATACTAAAACAATTATTCTTTTCAATCTCGGTGAATAGTGGCTTTGGGAACATTTACCACGATTTCAAAGAATAATTGTTAATTATTAAAAGCTGAATCATTGGATAATGCAATTCTAGCGTTTTGATTGGCTTAGCCATCATGGTATATTTAACAATTATTCCTCGAGCCCGAATGGGCTCTGAGTCAATAGCCCATTCGGCCTTCGGCCTCATGGGCTATTGACTCAAAATATTCTCAAATTTTTTTATTCTCAAGAATATCGAGAATAAAAAAATTTAGCTGCTAAAAGCTAGACTTAAATCCTTTTTTGCCGCCAAAAAGCCGGCGCTTTTCGCTACTAATGAGCTATAACATATAGCCCAGTAGTAGCTCGACCAATTAGAACGCAGCATTCATAATGGACCAGTAGTTGGATTTTACTAAAAGCCATTACACCATGCTCTCCATATATGGTCAGTGTACGCGTCAGTTCAAAATTGAAAGCTAACTGAGATTTTTTTAGGCGGAGGATAGAATGGCGCCAGAAGAAAATCGTTTCAATTCTTAGAATGCTGGAAAATGTAATTTCATCGCGAAAAAATAAGCAAACAAAACAAACAAAAAAGCGACAAGAGTTTGTTTGAAAGTTTAGCGAAAAACACATGAAACTAAAATACCTCGACCAGTTACAAAAGAATTAAGACAAGTGCTGTTTCTTCATGATCGCGAAGCCACTCGCCGATAGATAACTGCAGCCTGTTCATCCGACATAAATAATATAAAATCGCAAGCAACTACAACCAGTTGCAAAAATGTTGAGACACTCTCACGGAAAAACGACCTTTTATGCTTCAAATCGCTCCTGGTCACAGGTCTGTAAAATATAAAACTGACCTCCCTCCTCCCTCCCATTCAAAGTTGTTCTTCCAAGTTTTGAGTATGGTCTTGTATTGCTAGGAACTTTGATAAGGGGTGGAGGGGGGATCAAGCACAAGATCATGGACAGGCCATTTATGCCAAAATACGGTACAGTGTTTCAAGTACTTTTGCAACTGGTTGTCTCATTTAAGGTTTACTTCAACAAGCGATTTGCACGTCTTAAATTCCCAAAACGAAGACTATAGCGACATAAATAAATAGAATGACACTTTGTGTTGCTTTTCCCAGCCGATACATCATTGTCATTGATAGCAAACTGCCTAAAAAAGCGCTTGACTTATTTTTCAACATCGCTGTTAAAGTAAAACCTTTCAGTTTTTTTTCATCTACTACAGTGAAAATAAGATGGTTATTAAAGTCCGTTAGAGCTAGAGAGTAGAAAAAGTTGTGTGCTATGTTAATTTCTATTTTCTGACGGTCTACCATCACCACGGTCTACCACTCTGCAACAGTAAGAAATAGAATATATTATTATATTTATCTCATATGATGGTAGACCGTTTAGACCGTGTAGACCGTTGAAGCACGTAAATTCCTGACATTGCTGTGCTGGAAAATTGCTTTTCTTGGGGATAGTGTCTTCCTTTTCGCAAAGAAATAAACTTCCTTACCAAGCACAGAACTACAAAGCCACGTTATATCTGCGAGCTCTCGCGACTTTGTTACTGGAATACGCGCGCGAATTTTCATTATCTGATGCCTAGCCACACTCGGGATTCAAAATCGAAACAAAGTTGTAAGACGACCAAAGAGTAAACACAAATCCAAACTTGTGTTAAGTAAAGTAAAGTCGACAACAGCTGCTTTTTCGCGTAAGTTTTGTTTCCTGTAAATGGCAGGAGATAAAAGAGGAACCACGTCCACGTACTTATCAGAAACAACAATGAAAAGCTATCTCCTTGATCTAGCGGGGCATCTTACGTCACTTTCTTTCCGTAAATAAACATCTTTTAACCGAGTTCGAAGAAAATATATTATTTTTCGCATCTCTGTAGCGTTTTAGGACCAAAAACCCCTTTCGTTGCAGCTTAGTTAAGATGGTGTGGCATCTTTTGCCAAGTGCTTCCTTTAAATGCCCAATTTCTTGCATATTACCACATAAACAAAAGGGCCAACAATTGCCGTTTTTGTCTCGCCACTTTGAAACAGGCAAACCTAAAAAAATGTTTTTTTATAACCACCTCCTTAGGTGCTAAGAGTAGTCCACGTTTTATCCCGTTTAATAATCGTACACCACGGCTATAGGGGTATGAAGGACTCAGACAACCAGTCGCAAAAATGCTGAGACACTCTCACGGAAAAACGACCTTTCTTGCTTCAAATCGCTCCTGGTCACAGGTCTGTTAAATATAATACTGACCTCCCTCCTCCCTCCCATTCAAAGTTGTTCCTCCAAGTTTTGAGTATGGTCTTGTATTGCTAGCAAATTTGATAAGGGGTGGAGGGGGGATCACAAGCACAAGATCATGGACAGGCCATTTATGCCAAAATACGGTACAGTGTTTCAATACTTTTGCAACTGGTTGTAGCTACAAATACAGGCTGTGCAACCTTTCACTACAGCAATCCAGGCGTCAGTATAGCTTCTTGTCTCGTTCAGTAAAACCAGCTGGCGGATTCAAACAACTTCATATAAAGAAGCTTTGCATGAGTTTCTGAATGGCGACCGAGGGAATAGTTTTCCTTTTGTAACTGCACCAAAAATCCAAATTTACTATAATTTCGACGGCTGCACTTCAAAATTTTTGTCCCTTGTTTTTGCCGGTTTGTTCTAACAAAATAAAGTCGGGGAGATTTATCGAGATTTTGTGGTCGTTTTCAATAAAACAGTTATTCCACTCGCGCGTGATGGCTATCTACCATCTCATACCCAACGCGCACTCGTGGACTAATTGTTAAGTATACTTTTCCTTTTTCGTGGTCAAAAGACGAGACAAAAGATATCCAATTAATGTCTCTCCTTAGTTTTAACCGGCGGGGTGTAACAGGAATCTCACCATGTTGTTTCTATGAAGTTTCATTTGCTTCCTTTTAATGGCAAGACAATGTTGAACTCCAAGCTCAGAAAGGAAAGCTTTCCAGTCGGTTGTACGAGTTTTAGATCCTGCACATGAGTCCAAGTATGATTCGTCGATAAGAGTCCACGAAATACCTTTAAGAAAGAATGCAATGCATGTAGCGAATTAGGGAGATGTAAATTAACCGTAATTAAACATTTCTAACCAAGGCTACAAAGCGACACGTGCGGCTTTCAAAAGAACAATGATTCACTTTTACAAAAAATGTGAAAATTTCTTTACCACCGTTTTCCACGTTTAAGGAAAAATGGAATTCAGCTAACTGTAAAGTAAAGTTCATAATGTCCCTTAAGTTTTCCAGTGGATTCAAAGGCAATAGGTAGCTGGCGATGCAGCAACAAAAACTGAAGAAGAATCATGCCATGCCATAAACTGGTAAACAAGTTGAGAAAGAAAAAAGATTAAAGAAATCGGACTGATCAAAAAAGGAAATAGAAAAAAACGTTTCTTACTGGGCAGCTGACGAGCAAGATCAATGGTGTTTCCAAACTTTTTTGTAAAGTAAATGGAATTATTGGTTGGGTTAACAGCGCCCTTGTTGGTCAAAATCTGTACACATGATCTCAGTTCACTGATGTCACACACTGAGGGATCACTCAGACGCTGCTCAAGGATGTAAACAAGATAACTTCTCAAGACTTCCTTCGACTTCGTCTGCAAAGGATCAAAGTTCAAAACATTGGATGACGACCTTGGCGGATTTCCTGTTATAGCATTACAGAGCGGGATTGATAATCGAGATAGGATAGGGAAGTTAGGAAGTGGGAGCGAGATCAAGGTCAAAACGCTGTGCTTGCGCAAGTCTCACGTGATGCTTCGTAAGGAGACACCATTTTGATTTTCATCCGGATGGACACCAACATGGTGAAGAGTTTTTTTGTGAATTCATCCCTTGAGCAACTCAGAAACATTTAAGTAGTACACTCTCTAATAGGACTATTTAGATGCCAAATTCCCTCCCCCAAAAGAAACCCTTTTTTTAAACTACATAACAACTCTAACAACTCTATAACAACTCTGTGTAAATTTCATAAGGGGAGAAAGGGGATACGGCCGATGGGATCTAATGCTGACTGTTTCCTACTTCCACGCCTCACGCATGCGCCGTATGCTCTGGAAAGATCTGGAAATCATGGAAGCCAACGAGAACAAGCGAAAGCTGAGTGGAATTCACTGTTTTGTCTTCAAATTTCGTTTGTTTTAGCGTGTTTTTGATCAATTGAACCTCTTAAGATACTGTGGTATCAAAGTAAACGGAAGTGAAGCCTGAGAAACCAAGTCGATTTTTGCAAGTACAATTGATCAATGTATGGCTCATTCGCTACAATCACTGTAAGCTTATAAAACTGACTTTCTTTGTACCCTTTACTAAGAACGGTATAATTAAACTTACAAAATGTGGAATTTTTCGTAAAGGTTTCTGTATTCTACGCAGTGTAACACGGATTATGGTTAAAACTTTTTGGGTTCTGCCTTGGGATATTTGACAGCAATGTGCAGCCCGGGTTGGGGAAATTTGGTTGCATTTGACTGGAATGATATGCCCGTGGGCAGGAAATTTGACTGCACATTTTTGAAAAGTGTCAAATCCCCACCCCATGCCCTGCCTAACCCCCCCCCCCCCCGCCGGCTTTACACTGATAGGTGCATAAGTGCAAAGAAGAAGTTTGAAAATTATCCTCTGCTCCACTGGTAGCCAATGTAAAGACTGTAGGACAGGGGTGATACGTTCTCTGGTCTTTGTTCTCCTTTGCTGGTAAACCGTATAATAAGCTATTACAATAGTCTAGTCTGGATGAGATGAATGAGTGTATAAGGCGCTCAGTTCTCGTTTGATATAAGTATTTCCTAACCCTGCCTACAATTCGCAGTGCAAGAGATGCTAAGCTGCAAATACTGTTGGCGTGGCTTGACATAGTGAGGAGCCTATCAAAAATGACTCCTAGACTACGAGCTTTCTTACTGATAGGTACATAATGCTGATTTCATTTTAGAATAAGAACTGGACGGGAGAACCGTGAATGAAAATGAACTACTACAGTTTTCTTAGGATTGAAACTAAGCATATTATCTGCAAAAAATGCTTGAACATCACCCTAGCATTGTTCGAGATTAGTAATTGCCTAATTTCATTCCGCGCGGGAGCCTGGCACTACCGGATTTTCCCGGACTTTTTAAATTCTGGATTGAAAATGGCTTCCAAAATAGAAGGTAAAGCAAAGGTCATTGCGTATAGTTGAAACGATATTAAGAGCCAGATTACTCCAGAAAGTTAATATTCTAAAGCTAAGAACAGTTGTTTTACTGCTATAAAGAACCTCGATTAAAAATTTCGAGAAAATACAGATCTAATCGGAGACTTTCGCTACTTGGAAGTATTGGAAGGATTCCAGAATTGTTCGACAAAAAATTTGAACAAAGAACCGTCGAGTTTAGCTCTTTTTACGGTGCTGGATCCGACCGAATATTGGGGAACTCGGATAAGGGAGTGGGTGTACCTGTTTTTACAAACCGTAAAATAAAAACTACCAAATAGCGAAACAAGCCAGAGTGACCCGAGTGAAAGAGCAACATTGTGTGGACGGTCTCAGTAGAAATCCTAAAGATCAGACCGGAAACAATTCTCGCTGAACATGGATAAAAGCAAGTATACTTCAGTCTTACTTGAGAGGCACTTCCCGTCCGGTAACACCGCAGTTCCTGTAATTCAGTGGGCAATCACCTTGTAATCACAATCAAGAATGTCGCGTACATCTACCTTTTGGCTAGCACGCACTGAGTATAGACTAGTGCCTTATCTCCCTTCATGTGAACAACACTAGGTTTAACATATATAACGCCACAAAGTTCACTACACTCAGTATCTTTCACGGACATTACTCTTTTCCGCGACGGGAATGATCCAGGTAAGCCTTCTGTACTGCCCTTTTAAGTTTTGCTCCAGCATACTTAGTCTACGATCGGTACGTGCACAATCACATCTGTGTTCTTTCCTCCAATGATCCTCTACTTTTCATATGCGGGTAGAATTAAACACAGGATCCTTTGCTGTAGAAGTTTGGTTCGAGCGACCTGTTCATCGAACAACTGCTCGTGCACTTGCGTAGTGTCGGCTCCTTCAGTTTAGCTTCAGGGCATGGCAGAAATACTGCATCCTTTCATTAGTTTACACAGATTCTCCGAGGGAATGTTGATCAATATTTCTTCGAAAAAAAAAATGCTTTCGTTCGAGTTTTTACTCCGACTATCCGCCATTTTGAAACTGGACTTTTTAAAAAGTCCGGGAAAATCCGGTAGTGCCAGGCCCCCGCGCGGTATGAGATTAGGCAATGATGGTCTGCCTATCGTCTGGATTTACTGTTATATAAACTTGGGAGTCATCGGCGTACATCATGCAATTCTATAACGGCCTCTAGTGGAGCGTATCCTGCAGCCGCTTTTTCACGGGGAGAAAACAAACCAACTACGCGACAGACAAGCCACGCGAATGACCTCGTAACGGCTAAAAGCCATGCATGACAAAAACCTATGGGCGCAGGGTAGTGGAGCGAAATACAGTATGAATAACATGGGATCACGTACCTTCCACTTGTCAGACTTAAAAGTCGGTAGTATGTGACTGTTGATGAGGTCTCTTACACTCAAACTCTTGACACCCAGGCGGCGCAACAATTGTTTCACCTGACTGCGACCAATATCATCAAGTGAAGAAAACAAAGCTGGATGCACAATGGGCAGATCTCTCTCAAGAATACTAAAGCAAGTCTGCTCATTAGATTTTGCACCTAAAACGAAAGTAATGGAATAGGTAAACCTTATATTCTGTGCAATGTAAAATTAAATTGTTCTTCATGAGTATCAACGAACAAGAAAGTATTATCTCCACAGTAAGTCTTAGGTCAGTAAGGATTATAAAGCCCCACACTCCACCTATACATTTCCCGTCCACTAAAAAATTAAACACTGCTCTTAGTTTTAAAACCCAGGAAGTCTGCCTGCTGTGTAAATCACTTGGTTAGCAGGTAAGAGCGAACAAGACACTGACTGCAACTAACTCAAACACGTGTGTGAAAATCATAACGTCGACAGGAAATAGGTTGGGCAGCAATAGACCTAGGGAAACTGAATAATACTCAACAAAGACAAATGACACGTTTTATCTACTTACTAGAACTTTTCTTTTCCTTAGAGGCTGCTTCCTCAGCGAGCTTCATTGTCAACGGCAGAAAAACACAATCTCCCTTAAGATCAACGAAAGTTCCATCTGTTAAGGGGATAACACTGAGAGAACTAATCATATCCAACATGTCTTGACTGCTGTTTCGCTCCTGATCAAGACTTCTGTACATACACTGTAACCACTGAGCCAACCAAGCTATCTTCCCAACATCGGTTTTACTACCTCCACCGTCGGTTTTAGTCAAGTCGCTGACGGGGGAAAGTTTTTTCACCTCCTCCTTGCCGATTTCAATCAAGTGCTTGCTTGATAACGTCTCAATTCCAAGTCGTGATCTTAGGGTTGGATTAAGGGCTGCTGATATACCTGGATGAAGGTATCGTAATCCCAAATGTTCCTTGAGCACAGAGGCTCTGATAACTTGTTGTACGATGGGGTCATCACAAAAAATCGCCTCACAAGGAAGGACCCACTCGTAGCCATTCTGTACATTGTGTGGTTGTTCGTCTTCTGGACTGGCCAGTGTCGCAGGAATACAAGGCTTGCCTTGAAGAAGAGTTAATATCTGTTTAGCGACAGGAGTAAAGAACCCTAAGATTTCTTCTTCAAAAGGGACAAATTGGAAGTATGCAGCCGCGGATGACAGTCCTGAGAAGGATGAGTGTTCCTGAAACAGAAAAATGGAAACGATTCCTTTATCATCGCTGGGATGAGTTTCTTATGTCTGGTATTGCTGCACTGTGTTTTGGCTTGCCAGATATTATGGGAGCATTCTACTGTGGGCCCAAAACAGGCCCATCCCTAAACAAGACATCACAAGAAAGGACACAACAGCGGGTCTTCGTTCCGCAGATGTTTCGAACAGTACCATGGTTACTTAAACGTGCGACTTTTCCTTGAATACACCTCTTACATACCGCGCGGAGACTAGGCACTGGACACCTTCGCCATCTTGAATATGGAATAGGTAATAAATAATATCATCTGCGCACATCATGCCGGCCAAAACTGACAGTCACTAGGCAAGAAACTTAACACGTTAACAAAAAAAATGTGCTCAGACGAGTTTATCAAGCAAAGGAAACGGAGCACAGGGCCCAGGCATTCTTCATGGAAGATTTAGTTTACGATTTTTATGTCATATATTGTATCAGAAGCATATATCCCCGAAGCGTCGAACTTCCCATTATGTTTTTTAAAAAGAACCATGCTAGGGTTTTTTTAGCCGACGCAGCCGTCCAATCAGAAGCACGGAAAATTATTTTGCCCAAATATGGCATCAGAGAATTCAAGGCTAAAAACTTTGAGCTTGCAACGCTGTACATGTATTTCTACGGCCGAAAGAAATCGTTTCGTGGCATAAAAGATAAAGTAATTATGCTGCTATAAAATCCAACCCTGGGAAAACATAAAGGGCCACAAAGTTATTATAAGCGGTATGGCTTGAAAACATCGACCAGTGACAAAGTAAGGCAAGGATGTTTACATTTCTTCACGATATCGCAAAGCCTCGCGCCGAAATCAGCAAAACGCATCAGCAGCCTGTTTGACCGACAAAGATCATCCTGAGGCTACTGGCCACAAACCTATCTACCACGACAATCCAGTTATCTGCAACTTCTGTTCTCATTCAGCAAAACCAGCATGGCGACTGCAAACAAAATGATATGGCAAGCTTTGCAGAAGCGTTGTGCAAGGCGCCGACGAAGTTGGAACGGAATCTTTTGTGAGTGTAGATTTTTTAATTCCTCCAGAACAGTATGCAAACACATGTATGGCAGTTTTGATTAGAAGTGTGACATGTGAAAGTTTGTTTTCATTTTGGGGACAAAGAAAAGTTTTAAGCTGCGAAATTCACCTTCGAGAACTTCGACCTCGTTTCTTTCACGGCAGAGCGCTTGTCCTTTTCTGAACGGCGACCAAGTCAGCATTCCAACCTTTTTAAAGAATTTTCAGGTAAACTTACATTTTACACACTATGCTCAAGGAAAGTACGTAATTGAAAGGAAATTTATGTATCTATAAATGTTCATAAATACATACATGTTTATTCAAACTCATAATAACTACATGAATTTGAAAGGGAGAGTCTAGAGGTTAACCCTATGAATAAAACTCTCCTAAAAACAACAAACAAACAATAAAAATTACAACTTTAAAAAGGATTTGAGTTTACATTTAAAAAGTTCAAGGGAACCGGCTTCAACAACATTACTAGGTAAATTGTTCCAATAACTAATTACATTGTTAAAAAAAAGAATATTTAAAACAGTTGATTCTAGATAATTTACAATAAAGCTTATACGAGTGATTTGCCCTAGTGGATTTGACTTTTGCGAATTGAAAGAATTCCTCAAAATCCAAGTGTGATAAGCCAAACACGATCTTATAACATTCAACAAGAGAGGAATATGTCCTACGATTGGACAAAGATGGCCAATGTAACGAGTCGTGTTATATATTTTTGGTAGAGCATTCAAGATAAATAGGGAAATGCACCCGACCTAAGATTAATTTTTGCCATGTGCTCACGCCGATTTTACTTGTGGGAACAGATCCACGATCCAGTCAGTGTTACGTGAATTGCTTTTAACGGTAAACTTATGGGTTTTCGAAAAAAAATTTCAAGAAACAATTTGTCTGTTTATTGTTTTCTGTTTGTTCATTCATAGCATTAGTTGAAAACATGATCGTGAGACAGCATCGAAGTCTTATTACACGCATCACTTCTGCGAAGATGTCAGCGAATTTTTACTTTCGAGTTCAGCAATTACTGAATTATGTGTTACTAGTTATTCTTGATACATAAGTAATTTTTTAAAGGTTATTTGCGCTAATGGTCACGCAAAAACCGTTTTTGAAGTAACAACTTTAAGAAATCGCTTCTCTTACGGCGCTTGTCGTTTGTAGTCGACTTTGTCTTGTTAGCAGGAACTAACACATTCCTGGTCATTTGGGGATTAATACTGTATTCCGTTTAATTTTTCGTCAAATATTCCCTCGTAAAACAGTAAATGCTACTTGCACCGCATCATTTTATACATCGCCGATACAAGTTTCGCGCGACATCTCGCTTATCAGTAATTCAATATTAGAAAGTTTTGATTGGTTCCCTAAAAACCCCAGCATTGCGACAAAGTTATACACTTCGGGGTTATATGCTTCTGATTGTATTTAATTTCTTCCACGCAGATAACTGATAAGACTGATATTTCAATTCAAGGACTGCGCTGCCCTTGCACTATTCCTCGAAATTTGTTTTATTAGTAGTTTAGCTCCCGTTTTCACAGCAGGGCACACCTTTTGACACTTTTGTTGAAAGAACTCCTGGAATATTTCTCTGCCTTGCTGAGGGTCTTTTCTCTTTCTAGAGTTAAGACAGTTTTCATTTCATGAGAATTCTTCGATTTACACATCAAACTACAGCATTTCCTTTTCCAAACAGAAAACAACCTCAGCTCCTTGAAATGTGACATAAATATCGTGAAGTTTGCAACAAAGAATGTCTCTACCCTCTGATCCCATTTCTTTTCCTTGATCAACTCCTCTAAGCACTTTTTTTCTTCACTTTAAGCTGTCATTTTTGGCTGGTGATCCAAGCGGACATGATGTAAAGTAATTGCTATTCCATCTTAACACGGTGGTAAAATAGATTTACAGTTCGTTATTATCTCGCATGTTCACACCTGCGTGTCCACCATGCCAAGAAGTCGTACAAAATTACAAAAGCAGGCATTTTTTCCTTCAACCAAAACTTAGAGAACCCTAGACAAAAGTCCCTGGGACAATCATGCAATTTTGATTTTCACCTGTAATTCCGGAATGTTTTAGAATACCTTCCTAACGTAGTGTTATTATTTTGAAACGCTTTCCAGTCCCACCCCTTACCCTAGACAATGTTGGAAGTCTGGAAAAGACACGGGTTCAACATTGTATGTGGCGTGGGGGTGAGGGGACGCGTATGTGTAGTTTGAAAAGAGCGCCACGAATGCAAATTTGTCCCAGGACTTTGCGACAACTGTAAGTAAAGTTACATTAAACGGATGGCCTTAATTAACCCCTTCCAACATTCCACACTTTCCTTTGCCTTCGCCTCATAATTTGGGCCTTACTCAAATGGAAATGAGTTAGACAGTATAAGTACGTACTCACCATAAAAATGGATAAAGTATCGACAAAAAGTTGAGGGATCTCTTCCCTTAGCCACTGGTTCCATGATTTATCTTTGTCAACGTCTTCTCTTGATGAAGGCACTTCAAAGTCACCTTGAATGATGAACCGAAATCCATAGCTTCGGAGCGGAAGATAAGCAAAAACATGTTGCTGCGGCAACTTCTGCAAAATGACACCAGATGTGACAGGTATAGCCTTACATTCTTACTGGCTAAAGCTTTACTTAACAAACACGTGGACTGCCTAAAGAACACTTGTCTAGAAGGTGTTTATTGAGAAAATAAAGGTGCTTTCTCGTCAAGACGCTAACGTTGATGTCCAACTTATACTTTTTAAAAGATCGCGCAGTTTTTAAATAGAACTGACCACTGCTTTCAAAAGAACGACAATACTAATAGGTGATAGCAATTTTTACTTGGAAACTAAGATTTTTGCATAGCTTGCAAAAACGTCAGGAAGTCACTATCACCAACAGTCCTGTCCAGGATGATAAGTATCAAGAATGAGATCAAATATACCTGGTGTCTTTTTCCTAAACTTAAATCTTGCTCATCGAAAAGCGGAAAAGCCAGAGCCAGCTCCGTCATCTCAACGTCTTCTTTCATCTGAAAACAAAATAAAACAGGCCATAAACGACTAGCAATGAAGGATTCTTTCATTGGCACCACGAAAGGAATGGACCGTTTGGACAAATATCACAATACAGACAATTAGGAATTAAAGGAGCAAATAACCCAGCAAGATTTGCGGGCTTCTTACATGTGATGCATCCAGCTGTTTCTTCATAACTAACCAGCGGTCTGTACCACGACTGTGAGATATTTCCATAATGTTATCACTTAAATCTTTCCTAATCATATCACGGCAAATGTTGTTTACCTGTAAGGAAAAAGAGGGAAGTTAAAAGTTGAAATCCTCTTCATGATTCTTGTAAAGTGCATGTCAATACGTTTTGAAGTTTGCATTGTTATTATGTTATTACTCACGGCTGGCGGCTTGCGGTATACCGCCAACATTGTTATTACCTTGCTTACGGTTAACTGCCAATAATGTTATCACCCTGCTTACAGTCTACTACCAATGCTGTTATTACCTTGTCTTGTATGCTAATTGCTCTCAAGCGATGGAGAAAAAGTAACAGTGATGGATGAACATCGCGGAACCGAGCAGCTAATGAAGTATTTTCCATCCCTTGATGCTCCTCTTTCAATCGCAGAACAATGCGAGTAGACCATCTGATTTCCGAGAAAAAAGAAAACAAAAAAAGGGAATAATAACCCGTGTGATGTTCGATTAGGTTTTACAACATAATGCAAATAATTGCATGATCTACTCTTAGTTTTAATAATTTTTAATTGTAAATATAATTATTTTTTTGGTAAAATCCAACTAGTGGTTTATTACATACTTCCTTTTGTTTCTGTTTTTCACTTTCTCTTTTTTTTTCTCGTGGCAAGTCTGTAAAGTAGCTATTTAGCTCAGCACATTTGACCAGGTTAAACAAAGGCAGAATCATATAACTCCGAAGCGTATAACTTTGTCGCAATGCTCGGGTTTTTTAGGGAACCAATCAAAATGTACTTCCTGATATGGAATTACTAATAAGCGAGATTGTCGTGCGAGTGCTCTGTAGGAAAACTCAGGTATCACGATGTAAATGATGCGGTGCAAAAAGCATTTACTGTTTTACGAGGTAATATTTGACAAAAAACGGAATACACTATTAATCCCCAAATGACCAAGACTGAGTTAGTTCCTCCTAACAAGACAAAGTCGACTACCAATGGCATGCACCGTATTAAAAGAAAAAGCGATTTCTTAAAGTTGTTACTTCAAAACCGATTTTTGCCTGACCATTAGCGCAAATAACCTTTAAAAAAATCAGTTACTATCTATCTAGGATATTTAAAGTAGTAACATATTTTTCAGTAGTTGCTGAACTGGAAAGTATAAATTGCATAAAATTCCCTGCCATCTTCACAGAAGTGATGCAAGTAATAAGACACTGAATAAGAAGGATGAAACGCAAGTTAATATTACAAATAAAGACTTAGATGTGGCGATCATGTTTTCAACTAATGTTATGAATGAACAAACAGAAAACAATATACAGACAAATTGTCTCTTGAAAATTTTTATTCGAAAACCCATAAGTTTACCGTTAAAAGCAATTCACATAACACTGACTGGATCGTCGGGATCTGTTTCCACAAGTACAATCGGCTGAGCACGTGGCAAAAATTAACACTAAAATTATCTGTCTCAGATCGGGCGCATTTTCCAGTTTTTCTTGAAAATTCTATCAAAAATATATAAAAAGTCTATGAAACATTTATAAATACATAAATTTCCTTTCATCATCGTACTTTCCTTGAGCATAAAGTGTAAAATGTAAGTTTACCTGAAAATTCTGTTAAACGGTTGCTGACTTGGTCGCAGTTAAGAAAAGGACAAGCGCTCCGCCGTGAAAGAAACAAGGTCGAAGTCCTCAAAGGTAAATTTCGCAGCTTAAGACTTTTCTTGGTCCCCAAAAAGAAAAAAAAACTTTAACATGTCACACGTCTAATCAAAACTGCCATACATGTGTTCTCGTACTGTTCAAAATGAATTAAAAAATCTACACTCACAAAAAAAAAGGATTCCGTTCTGACTACGTCGGCGCCTTGTACAACGTTTCTGCATCATACTGGTTTTGCTGAATGAGAACAGAAGTTGCAGATAACTGGTCTGCCGAGGTAGATAGGTTTGAAGGTAGTAGCCTGAAGATGATCTTTGTCGGTCAAAGAGGCTGCAAAAGCATTTTGCTGATTTCGGCGAGAGGCTTTGCGATATCGTGAAGAAATGTAAACATCCTTGTCTTATTTCGTCGCTGCTCGATGTTTTCAAGCCATACTGCTTATAACTTTGTGGCTCTTTATGTTTTCTCAGGGTTGCATTTTATAGCAGCATGATTACTTTATCTTTTATCCCACGAAACGATTTCTTTCGGTTGTAGACATACATGTATAAGCGTTGCAAGCTCAAAGCTTGAATTCTCTGATTCCATATTTGGGCAAAATAATTTTCCGTACTTCTGATTGGACGGCTGCGTCGGCTAAAAAACCTGAGCATGGTTCTAAACAGATAAGGAGAATTTAGACGCTTCGGGGTTATATGCTTGTGACAAAGGTTATTGTTACTGATAGATGCGACTTAAGCAGAGTAGTAGCTTGAACTGTTACGATTTGTGTCTACAAAAAAGAAAAGTGTACCTGGCATACTCAGCTGTTACAGTGTCAGTATCTTCATGGAGATTGCTGTGCAGTGTATGTTCAAGTCTATTGTCACATGTCTGCTCTTCTTGGCATCCCTGTTCAATCCACTGTGGAAGTATGTATCCAATAGGACCACTCTTGGCGTCAAAACGAATGTGAAAACCATTGGAATGGATCTCTGGACAATCACTGACTCGAAATACTGATTTAAATCCGATGCCTTTTTGTCCTAGACGAAATCATTGAGATTTTGTTTAGTTAAATTGCGGTACTTTATTGAACGAGATGAGGCATCTTATCGCGAGTTTGAGACACGAGAAGAGCTGAGCGTTTAACAAACTGCGGCGTTATTATTTAGAACTACTCATTTTAAGGATAAACTTAAGTTTTGGTTCATTTTTGGATCTATCTACATCTACATAAAATAGGTCGGTAAAAATCGCTAAGACATCACACCAACCGTAAAATAATAAAAAATAATGATATAAAATTAAATAAAGATAATTACATCAGTATTAATTAAGAAATGCTGATAAATTAGATTTGAAAGACTCTAATGAACTTAATGATCCAATGGCCTCAGGGAGGCAGTTCTAGTCAGCTACAGTTCTCGGAAAATACGAAAATTTAAAACTATCCTTATTTGCATAAGGCACGTAAAATTTAAATTGATGGCTTCCCCTCTTGCGACTCTCGGAGTGTTGTATTAAATATTTTTCGGTTATTTATATCAATATGACCATGAGTCTATACATGAGTTAACCTATACTGTCTTCTTCTCCTTTCCAGCGTGTCCCTACAGGTTAATCGTGCACTTTATGATAAAAGCATGAAACTTGGCACACTAACACTATAAATTATGGGGAACATTTTAAAGATTATAGGCAATCTGGATGTGACCTTGGCCCGGGGGGGCAAGGGCATTTTCACAATGGCCGTCAGCGAGAATCCTCAGTATGACAGAATGATGCAAAATTACTTACAAGTAAGATGAATAAACATTTTTAATGTTGTACATTTATTAAAAAAGTCCAAAGCCTTTAAAATTTCATTGGGATTGAAATATTTAAATGTTTCGGGAACATTATTGTCATTTTGAGGTGGAACCATACATATTAGATTCATTGACATTGATTGTATTATACATGATTATAGTGTTTTGTTCCCTTCTTTTTGTTTTCCTTGAAATTGCCAAAAAGTCTTTAAACTTATTTAATGTTTTTTAGGCACATAGAGCAAAATGATAAAACATCCGGTAGCAGGAATAGCCGACAATTCATTGAAAAATTTTGCACTTGCTGTTGTTTCTTTTTTACAAGGCTGATTGCAAAAGGTGCTTTCACGTGCATGTTTTGTACTAGTTAGGTCCACTGTTTTGTACTGTGCACCACGTTGCTACCTTCCTAGCCGTTCAATATATTACGATGGCTTATTTAATTTGGTGCGACACAAAATAAAGCCGACTTTTAGGATCGTATCAGGCGGTGATATTGCCGGTTCTTCAAGTAATAGAAGCAACACGCCCTTGGACTGGAGTAAGTGCCTCTTCCGCCAAAAAGACACCGGCAAGAAACTCGTGTGTCCAGCAAACCGTGCCGATAGATTTAAAGGAGCCGGATATAAAACTATCGCTGAAGCGCTACAATCGTTCAATGACATTGATTGTTTGCCGGAGGATGTACTCCTCACTCGCATGGACGATGGTGATGGACTGGAGCAAACATTAGTTAGCAGGAGAGCAAAATTCCACACAGCATGCAGTCTCAAATTCAACAAAAGTGAAATTTAACGTACTTCTAAACGGAAGATGCTTGCAAATGATGAAATTTCCCCTGGAACAAAGACGAGAACAAGCTGCGACCCCAGTCCATGGCCCTGCAGCAGTCACTGCTCTACTTCCTCTCTTCCCAGATGACTCGAAATCAGTGGCAATGATTCTTCATCGCTTGTGATCAGCCACCGTTCAAAATTGCCAAACAAATCTAATGGATGTGGCCAGAAGAATATGGAGAGGAGTCTTGTGTTGTAATGCTTAGTGGTCTGCACATCAAGATGTCACTGCTAAAAGCGCTTGGAGATCTTTTGGATGGTAGTGGCTGGACGTCAGGACTAATGCAAGCTGAAAAAGCCACAGCAGGAACCTCAAATTCATTCCTGAAGGCGGTGCATTAATTAAAAAACTGCTCGCGCTCACCAGATCACAGCTTGCGCTCTGTACAAGCTTAGGCAGGCATCATATGTTGAGTGGCAAGCATGTCAGCCGGAATGTAACGCCCCATCGTTTGATAAATGGCGCGAACAGAGAGCAACTCAAAGTGCACAGTTCCATTTCTGGCACCTTGTCCTCAGTACCGAGTTGGACGTACTGGCCTGGGACAGATCAATCCATGAATGCAACTTCCTTTTGTAGGCAGAGGCTTTGACAAGACTTCAGTGGCTGTTCCATTCCTTGACCACTACAACTACTCACATGCCGGAATATTTGCAGAATTTTGCAAGGGGAAATTCACAGATAACAAGACACAGCGACCATGGTGTCTGGACCAGAAATGGCCAGGGTTATTGGCGAATTTCGTAGTGTTCTAGACAAGAAGAAAACAGTATCACAGCTTCATCATCACGAGGACCAACCAGGTGACTAAACTTATTTTTGGTCTACTTAGTTTTTTTCAAGCCTTTTTACTACCCACAGTCTTTGGTACCACTGACGATTGTTAACGATTTGTAAGTTAAAATAATAAGACTGTTATAATTTCAATAAATTTTTTATAGTTTGTTTTAGCAACACAAGCATCTTTTCACAAGAATGTGAAGGTTTTGGTTGAGACCATGGACAACATGGGCAACCCATTCTCTGATACTAGCGGTGACCTCTTAGTTCTCGATTCACGGAGGGTAATGAATGCAGCAGTCATTGATTCCGCAATTTGAAAGAGCTTGCTAACGTCAATGCAACGAGTTCTTTAACTACCGAATAGTACCACGCACAACTCCAGTCACTGATACGATACCAAGGAATAATTTGCCTTTATTCAGATGGCGTCCTGACAAGGCAAAAACCGTGCGCAGGAACAGCTACTGACCACGACACGGGACCGGCATTTGTTTTCAACTTTATACATCGCGAGTCAAGGGCGAGATGCGGATCTCGGTCTTTTTCCAACGTGAAAACCAGTCGTCGCCACCTTCAATATCTGACAATGGAAAGTTGAGACTAGCAACAAAGTGCGACCTACTTCCATGTCTGGAAGATCTGCTGACGCAAACCGCCGAAGCGAACAGCTTAATGCCTGAAGTAGACATGATAGTTCTTGATCGCCCAGCAATAGTCAACATGCTTAAACCTGTCACGTCCGATTCATTCGCTGAGTATGTGAATGAATTTGTGGCCTACATACGGATTCAGTTCGTGAAATCTGTTCAGCGAGTCGATGTGGTGTTTGACGAGTAAAGGGACGCGAGTCTCAAGGCGGCAACAAGGATGAAGAAGGGGACGGGTATGCGTATTAGAGTAGAAGGAAGAAGCAAACTGCCTGGAAACTGGCACCAGTTTCTGCGAGAGGATGAAAACAAGACAGAGCTGTTCAATCTTCTCAGTGAAAACGTAACAACAGAGACTTTTCCTGGTGTGGTGGTGATGACTCGAAGAAAAGATCTACGCTGCTCGGAGGTAATTAACGAACAGGAGCTGCCCTCTTGCACGTATAAAGAAGCGGATTCTCGAACATGCTGCCGACGGTGCCAAGCAAGGATGCAACAGAATCCTGGTAAGAACGGTTGACACAGATGTTGTTGCACTCGCTATCAGTACCGCCAATAAACAGACATGTGAACAGTTCATTGTGTCATTTGGAAAGGGAAAAACATAACGGTACCTCGACTCATATGGCGCGAAAGTTGGGCAATGACAAGTGCGACGCATTACCTGCTTTTCATGCACTCACCGAGTGCGACACTACGTCAGGTTTTGCAGGAAGAGGAAAGCGCACAGCAGTTCAAGGATGTTACGCCCGCTCTACGTACACTTGCCCAAACACCACCATCGAGAGATTTGTCATTCTGATGTATGACAAAGAAATCCCTGATGACAGTGTAAACAAGGCCAAGCAAACTTTGTTCACACAGAAAGGTAGGGAAATAGAGAACATTCCGCCAACAAAGGGTGCCCTACGTCAACACGCCGTTCGAGCAGCAGGCTGGTCATGTGTGGGGCCAGGCTCTCCTTAAACCACCGCAGCTACCAAGCCCTGAAGAATTCGTTTGGAAACAGGAAAATGCGTCTGCCCAGTGGAAAGTGAAGAGGACGAACCTGCCGCCTGCTGGTGCGGTGTGGACTGCTGTCGTAAAGTGTGGCCGCGTTAAAGGCTGCAGACGAAGATGCAAATATGTACAAGAAAATTTGCCCTGCACATTGTTGTGCAAATGTGGTGGATATCAGAGCCATGGATAATTAATAATTTGTGTAAGCCTCTACGCTTTTAATCATTGGACGTTAATAAATTCTTGTAGGAAAAAATTCGAGGTATTTTCCGAGAGAAAGTAGTGTTAGGAAATCATAATTTACATGTATATTCTTAACCTTGAAACAACCGCCCAAATTCTCTAAGAAGCTTTCATGATACTTTGATGCCATATTCACTTAGCTTTGGTGTAAGTTCAATAAGTTTAAATCCAGACAATGGCAATTTGACATTGCACCCATTCATTTTGATCCATGTTGTCGTACAAACAATATTACCGGCGTCCATTTTGAAAACTGTCCCCTCCCCCCCGACACAGGTCATATCTAGGTTTCCTGTAATTATTAAAATGTTTCCCATGATTTTTAGTGATAGTGTGCTAACTCTCATGCTTCTATCATAAAATGCACAATACTTTCACATCACTCATCCACCGGACTATAAGTGTTTAATCATGTCCGTAACACTCGCATATCTACTATAATTCTGTGAGCAGAACCGTGCTGCTTTGCGTTGAACCCTTTCCAGAGCACTGATATCTTTCTTTAAAAAGGGTCCCAAGCCGCACTTGCGTATTCCTTTTTTTTTTTTGTAATTGATTAATGTATTTTTTTTGCGTATTCTAGCTTTGGCCGTACAAGGGATATAAACAAACTTATCAAACATTTATTTCAGTTGTATTTTCTTTCAAATATTTCACAACACACCTATGTATCCATAGCGATGAGCTCCTTTTGTACTTCTTCCTACATCACACAACGCTCGGATATTGTTCTCCATGAATCCAACTTCGTTGTTCAGGACCACGATCTTATCTCGCTCGAGAACAAATACAAGGGACGGGAATCCCGTACCAGAGCTAATCTCGGGATAGGTATTATCATCTGCATTTTGTACAAGCTCTAATACAAAGTGTGTATCCCTTGAGTACAGCTCGGTGGAGAGACGATGTAAACCACGCCCTTCTCGCTCTCTTTGTCGCTGGACAAGTTTGGATTCCTCCTCTCCAAGTTCAAGACCAATTCCGAAATCTTCTCGGCGAATCTGCTCGATTACTGTCCTGCACTCGTCTTCATTTTCAGTGAAAAGTGTACCAGTTCGTGACTGTTCCAGGAAACTCATGTCAATTTCCCGAGTTACAACTAAAAAAATCAAAAGTATTTTGAGTTGAGTTATCGAGTAACTTCCGGAATGCTTCATCTATACCTGTAAAGGACCTTAGAAGCTAAATGAACTCAGCAACAATACTGCGCATAACCGAATACTAACAACTTCTAACTCCATCCTGGATAAATCCTCCTTATGGACTCTGTGTTTTCCACCGTTTACATACGGCGTAAATGCATAGATAATGCCATCCAACCTCCCATTAGCCACCACCCTAGATGCCAAAGTATAGTAGTGCTCGTACAAGTTTCAAACCACAGAGGGTTTCCGCTGAGAAGACATCCTATTTCATGTTACTTCTGAGTTATAATGCGGGTAGTGTCATATTGTCCTTAAACGTTCCTGGCATACTCTGAGATGTGTTCTACATACAGTTAACATAGTCCACGTGTCAAGAGTAAATGTGGTTGCTTACGAGAGGTTCCAGTGCATAACTG